GAGGGCCATTGAGTGGAGTGTAGGGGCTCATTCCTAAACATCCCTCAAGAGCCTCTGAGAACATAAGAGTACAGATATTGCTGTTCTTAATGGCTGCATTCAGCAATGATTCTAAGTCACTAAAAAGTTCCATTTATATTCAGTATATTTTAAGAAGGCAGGGGAATGTGTAGAATGTGTATTAGGAAGAATTCTATTCAAAACATTTAAAATAAGCTTTGATGTTTAAAGGGACTGACCTTCGTCTGGCCAGAAGGATTCCAAATAAATGCAGTTTTTCTATAGTGATTCAAAGTCAGAAGTCTATACTAAACTCATGCTCCAAATTGATTACTGTATCAGAAATATTCTTCCAAAATGGTTGGTTTCTAAGGACATAACAATCCCACATCTGAGAGTGGTAACTTTGAGCCTTAGAAACTTAAGGAGTTTGTTGCTCTAAAACCCTTTTGTTTTCCATTATGTTAAGTAAGTTTTCTTCAGGAATTTTATAATCTTCTTATTTCTTCCCCAGATTGGACGATCTACTGAAAGCCCCATTGATTTTGTAGTAACTGATACAGTTCCTGGAAGTCAAAGCAATTCTGATACACAATCCGTGCAAAGTACTATCTCAAGATTTGCATGTCGAATCATATGTGAACGGAATCCTCCCTTCACAGCCAGGATATATGCTGCAGGATTTGACTCATCAAAGAACATCTTTCTTGGGGTACAAAATCTTTGTTTCTGAATCAGGCTTTACACTTACACCAGCTTGTAATTCATAATTACAGATAAATGGATGTTCTTTCATTGTTGCTCTTCTCCTAGGAAAAGGCTGCCAAGTGGAAGACTGCAGACGGGCAAATGGATGGTTTGACCACAAATGGAGTTCTTGTTATGCATCCACGCAATGGTTTCACTGAAGACTCTAAACCAGGGGTGTGGAGAGAGATCTCAGTTTGTGGAAATGTATTCAGCTTGCGTGAAACCAGATCAGCTCAGCAAAGAGGAAAAATGGTAAGTTTGGAGAAAACTTTTTTAATTCAATTTTCTGCAATTAAGAAGGCACCAACTATCAGTAGTGACTTAAAATAAATGGAGTCTTATACTTACAGAAGAACTGCTTCTCACCTAACACAAGATCACCAAGTCTGTATGCACAAGGTTTATATGTCATATATAAAAATACTAAATATGATACTAGATGCTAACTCACCATTTTACATTCTTGTCATTTCCTTCTTGTGTCTCTCATATTTATTATGTCATTCTGAAATCCAGTTTCCTAAATTGAAAGCTACAAAGAATGAGATCTGGGTGGTGTTTGATTCTGTCTTGCCCAGCTGCATTTGGTCTGAGATTTTCCCAGCTTTTGCCTGTGGTTTTTTTATCTGGCTAAAAATATTGTTACCATTTCAATTATCTACCATTACCTTGCAATTTAAAGAGCACATGTCATTATCTCAAGGTACAGCATCTTCATTTCTAAACATCTCTTTTGTTATGACTGTGCCCCAAGGATTTTGATGAGTTCTTAAGCAGCAGTAATGGGATATTTAGTGTTCTTTATAAGCAACATCCAAAATGAAAATGGTTATGTGTAAAGCCAAATTAACACTGCTCCTTCTTTCCCTTCCTTACACCCTCTCCTTGCCCCAGGTGGAAATTGAAACCAACCAGTTACAGGATGGCTCCTTGATTGACCTGTGTGGTGCCACCTTGCTGTGGCGGACAGCAGAAGGCCTTTCACACACCCCAACAGTAAAACATCTAGAAGCCTTGAGACAGGAGATCAATGCTGCACGGCCTCAGTGCCCTGTTGGGTTCAACACACTTGCTTTTCCTAGTATGAAAAGAAAAGATGTTGTTGATGAAAAGCAGCCCTGGGTGTATCTGAACTGTGGCCATGTTCATGGATATCACAACTGGGGAAACAAAGAAGAGAGAGATGGGAAGGACCGTGAATGCCCCATGTGTAGGTCGGTTGGCCCCTACGTCCCCCTTTGGCTCGGCTGCGAAGCTGGATTTTACGTGGATGCTGGCCCTCCAACTCATGCCTTCAGCCCTTGTGGGCACGTGTGTTCAGAGAAAACAACTGCCTACTGGTCCCAGATCCCACTTCCTCACGGCACTCACACTTTCCATGCAGCCTGCCCCTTTTGTGCACACCAGCTGGCCGGCGAGCAGGGCTACATCAGACTCATATTCCAAGGACCTCTAGACTAATAAACATGCATTAGGGTGGCACTAAATTTATAAGCTAAGTGATGCAGGTTTTTCCTACCAATTGTCTACAAATTTCTCTGCTTTGATCATTTACATTAAGATGAAGACTTTTTTAAAAAAAAATTTTTTTTGTATTTGTAACAAAAATTCCTGAACAAAGTCTGGAAAAGTCAAGCAAAGGAATCTGGTGCATTTCCAGACTTCCATATTCTGTGTCTGAGTATATATTTTGAAGAAAGAATTACAGTCAAATTCAATGCCTTCATTTCTGTGTTTTTTGAATCACTCCTCGGTGTCTAAGAGATGTTTTGTATTACTGAGGTACTGTTGGTTCAAACTATGTTAGTTTACAGTTTGGATGCAAACATTGTAAAATACAACAACATGTACATTAACTTTCTTTTTCTATTTATCTTCTTTATAGAAAATATCTGAGAGTGTATTTGCTAGAGTAGCACAGTAGTGTAACATCCCTGGCGTGGATGCTTTGAGTCACTAGCTGAAGGCAGGGATTTGCAAGGTTAGGAAAAACATTTTGAAACAATCGTTTCTTTTTTTAATCAAAAATAATAAATTTGGTAGATTTAGTAGAATGCTTTGTAAAACTGAATTCATGCAAATTACATTGTGTAAGATTTGTTTTTAACCGCATTAAAGATAATCAGGAAGGATTTTCTTAAAATGTTTCTCTAGTGTATAGTACTACAATAAAAGAACTTATCACTAAGAAACATTTTATATGCTCCTTTGAATATGCAATTTAATCTAGATTATATATTTTTCTCCCATGATAACTAATCTGTTTTTAGTATAAGCAACATTCGGGAGGTTTACTTTATTTTTTTTTAGACGCAAACTGTGGTTCATCTGTTCACTGGAAAAATTTTTCATAATTAGAAACTGCATAAATTAGCAAGGAGGGAGAGTAACTTGACTTTGTAGAAAAAGAGATGCTTAAATTGGATGTGTTCTACATTTGGCCTTATCTACAGATTTGGGAATATAAAGATACAGATGCAGAAGTACAGTGGTTTGAATGGCAAAAACATGTTTGCCTTTGAACCCAGAAGACCAGTACCTAACCTATGGACCTGGTCTCAACACAGTTGATTTACATTAGAACTTTCAGTGAAAATCAGGTTCAAGTCCCTATATTCCTACAAAGCACTGGTCACTTCAGCAAACACATACTCTAGCAGGTGATAGTGAACAGCAGTAATAACAGGAAAACTTAAAGAGATTGTACACAAAGTCTGCTTATGAGACAAAATAGCCTTTCAAACTTTGCTTTCAGAAGTATGAAAAATTCCCTCCTTTTTTCATGCACTGAATACATGAAAGTTATAAGTAGGTATGCTACATCAAAAAAGGGTCTTGTGACACATTTGTAAATCAGTATACCCTGGGATGAGGTTGAAGTTTTTCTATTTAAGATGTTTTTCCTTTGGTTTGAGGGGAAAAAAAAGATAACGTAATAAAAATTGACAACAGCAAATTCCTGTATTTTGTAGCATAGCTTTGATTTTCTCAGTAAAAAGAACAAAAAAGAATCTTGCTAGAAGCCATGAACTGTTTTACTTCAGCTGTCAGATTTTCCTTGTTTTTTAAAAAACAAAAAAACAATTGTTTGGATTCACTCAGGAAATGCATGTCAGGAAACCTGTATTATAAGTATAAGTAACTGCTGTTACACCCTTTTCATAGAAATATAATTGTTTTTGAAATGTTCTAGATCGTTCACATGCATTGTGACTGATTCAGCAAAGAAATCAACCCCTATATTGTATTTGTTTTAATCATTTCTGTTTGGGCTATACCGTAGCTAATTTTTTTTTTGCGCAATTTAATTTATTCAAACTGTAAGTAAACACTTTTCAAAATAGAAATGTGAAGCTTTCTTCTTTTGGTTGAAGGTTTTTGTTGTGGAAAAAGGTGGGAATGGGAGATTAGGGGGAGAGAATTGGCTATCTCACAGACTAGAATTCATTTCAAGTAGGTGGAAAGTTTACATTTAATGTATCAGTCCTTTCTCTTTCCGAAGCATTTCTTTACTTAGCATCGCTCACTCATTAAACGTTTATTAAGCACCTACTAGGTGCCAGGCGCTGTACTAAGTGCTGGAAATACAAAAAGATGCAAAAGATGATCTCTGCCTTAAAGGAGCTTACAATCTAGTGAGGGAGACATTAGATAGCAGATAGATTTAATCATCTTCAACATAAAGATTGCAATGAAATCCACGTGAGCTGATGAGATCACCCAGTGAAGTGGTATCAAAGGCAAAGAGAAGAGGGCCCAGGACAGAATCTTGATGGACACTGACAGAGGGTGTGATCTGGAGGAAGACCCAGAAAGGAGAGAGAGAGAGAAGGAAGGGCAGATAGGTAGGAGGAAAACCAGAAGAGAGTAGTGTCCTGAAAGTCTTGAGAGGAAAGTATCAAGGAAGAGGGAGTGATCAACAGTGCCAAAGGCTACAGAGAAGTCAAGTAGAATGAGGAGTGAGAAAAGACTATTGCAAGGAACTTTAGATGTCATCTAATTTGACCCCTATTTTTTGTTCAGTTGTTTCAGTTTAGTCTGACCTTTCATGACCCCGTTTGGGGTTTTCTTAGCAAAGATACTGGAGTGGTTTTCCATTTACTTCTCAAGCTCATTTTACAGATGGAAAAACAGGCCAACAGTGACTTGCTCAGGGTTACATAGCTAGTAAGTGTCTGAGGCCAAATTTGAACTCGGGAAGATGTCTTCTGACTCCAGGCCTGGTTCTCTATCCACTGCATCACCTGGTAGCCCCTATATCCCATTTTACAAATGAAGAAATTAAAGGCTCAGAGTGGCTATAAACTACTTTCCCAAGGCTGGACAAGTAAGGAGGAAGTGGCAAACTCAAGTCTTTTAGATCCAAATCTTGTCACCATGCTTGCCTGTTATTCAAGTTCAGAAGGAACTTAAGCCACCATCTAGCCAAACATGTACTTGAACAAAACTATTTAATAGTTTGTGGTGCTGTTTAAATGGTATCAAAGTGGCCTAAAAGAATTAGGGAAGTTCTCAACATGTTTAATCTTTCAAGAGATTTTACTGAGGAAAATTGAGTAGATTTCATCTACAGAGCTAAGTTTACCTATAGAGTAGGTGAGTTGAGTTCATTGCATAAGGAACTCAAACTTTGAGATGTCAGAAGTTTAAAAAACTGACACATTAGCATAATGTTGCTTCAGGAAAAGTTACTGATAAATTATATCCAAACCTAACTAGAACCTCACAAAGTTCTGTTATAAAGCTACTTGGCCAGTCCCTGTGACATTGTTCCTGTGATTTAAAACACAAACACACACATCCTTAGTTCCTTACAATGAGCCAGGTTGTTGAATTCTGCCTTTTAGTATGAGAATTTTGAATTTCAGCTATTCCTTTCACCAGGGCCTTAATGGTGTATCTTCAGTTGTTAGATGGAATAGTCTGAATTAAGGATATGTGAATGTTCTTTAAGCCAAGACTTCCATCAACAGCCTCAAGGAGGAAACTTGTTAATATTTTTAGGTTAGGCCTTCTTTCTGAGGAATCTCTAGTTCTTCTGACTTGCCCAACAAGGGAAATTAATTTCTTAGCCTCATTTTACCTCACGGTCATAAAGCAAGTCAAGGCAAAAGTTAAGAGTAGGACCATTCAACGGGGTTGTTTTCTTTAAACTATTATTACCTTCCCTCAATGTATATGGCCTTTCTACAACACATAAAGCAGGGTAGGAAAGTGCTTTCTAGCGATATGAAATTATATTGAGTAATGCCAGGAAATCTCATACTGCCAGGAATATTACCAAATTCAGTCTTTAGCAATTGATGACAGTATGATTTATCATAATCATAGGTCCCTTAGCCTCCTTTAAAGCCAATAATTTGGAACTCTTCCCCCATCAGATCTTTTAAGGTGCCCAAAACCAGAAAAATTAACTGCAGGTTAATTTGATGTTTATTGAGGTATTTGTGTGCCTAGTGCAAGGTACTTGTTTTAAGACTACTTCCCTACCTAACTTATGGGAGCAGAGGTGGGAGAAGGTGGAGAGAGAGGAAGTGTTAATGGACATGAAATAACAAAGAAAGGAAAAAAGTCCAAAGGCCTGGATAGTTGAGACAAAAAAAAGGTCAAGACTGATAGATCCATCATGATACAGAATATTCTACATGGTGTCTTTTCAAAAGTTGTTTTACCTGAGGGTGAAGTTCTTCTGGTGCTTCTGTTGTAATGTCATCCTGTTGCATGGAGCAATAAAGTGCCTCTTCAGTGAGACCCGTGACTGTTCAAAAGAAGTTGACCATGTAATCTACAAAGGAAAAATCTGATGGTACATAAAGAATGCACAGTGCCCTGATTATGACATGTAGTTGGATGCCCACTGAGTCAGTCTGTCAGCATATAGATGTGGACAGGTATTACTGATAGGCAATGAGTTGGCCTAAAATCAAAGAGGAAGTTGAGAGAAGTCTGGCTTGCGTTTAGGAAATTATATAATTGTTTTAAGGCCTCTCAAACCGCTCCCAAATGGAGATGCCACCATTTCAACCCCAATCCAGTTTTGTTATATAACTGAACCACCAAACACCACAAACTATAATAATCAAAATTACAGCTGACCTAGAAGGTAATAGGGAAACTATGGCAGGGTTCAGAAGGCAAAAGCATTTTGCTAACAATGATTTACATGCAAAAAACAACATAAAAAAGGTTACCAAGGACACATGATTAGAAAAGGAGGGTGGGTGGGTCATGGAGCAAGAGCAAAGAATTACAGATGGAAAGGACTTTTGCTGTTATTGTTCACTTGTTTCAGTCACGTCCAACTCTTCGTGACCCTATTTGGGGTTTTCTTGGCAGAGATCCTAGAGTGGTTTGCCATTTCCTTCTCCAGCTCATTTGACAGATGAGGAAACTGAGGTAACCAGGGTTAAGTGACTTGCCCAGGGTCACATAGCTAGTAAGTGTCTGAAGCAAGATTTGCATTTAGGTCTTCCTGATTCTTGGCTAGGCACTATCTACTATGCCACCTAGCTGCCCATTGGAAAGATCTAGTGTTGTACTATTCTCCAAAAAATACTGAAAGACAAAAAGGAAGGCCTCCAAGGCATCGAGTAGATTTCTTTGGATGATTTATAAAAGGACATGGGCCAGGATCAGAAGGGACAGTTACAGTCTACATTTGTAAAGAGAGTATCTGTGGATCCAAGAAATATGTTTATGGATTCAGATGAGTTAATATGTTTTAAAACAGTGTTTAAAATGAATTTAATCAAAGTCACTCTGTCTTTTACCAGGTATAGAAAGCCTGGTTCCACAGCTGGAGTAGGATGCCAGTAGTGGGAGCTATAGCTGAATGATTACCCGACAAGTTAGTGAGATGAAAATCCAAGACAAAATTTGGGGAATCCAGGTAAACTTGGTAAAGAAAGAACAATGAGAAGCATCCCTGGCTTCTTTACAGCATGGCTACATGGCATAAGCCATGTAGAGCTGACCATCAGAAATTTATTTTATGGTTCTTTTATGATTTTATACCATTAGGAACTTAAAATAAACTCATGTTTATTTACAAAAGTATTTCTATTTCCCCTTTAATACAGCACAACCATTGAAATGATATTTGGGTGGAGTTTCACAAGTACAAGGACTTCTGACAGGGCTGGAATCTTTCCTTTATCCACAGTCTAGTCTTTGAATATCAGGATTTAGATGTTCCTTTGCTAGAAGGCAGGTAACAATGGGCAGTTTTTCACTATAAATAAACCAGAGATTGAGCGAAGTGACTTCAAAAAAGGTAAGATAAATCTCTTGCTCTGTATAGTTGTCCTTAATGTTTCCTGTAACTGAGTAGTATCAGTCAATAAATGTTTACTAACACCTACTGTATGCCAGAAAGGCAGTTAGGTGTTGGGCCTGGAGTCAGGAAGACTCATCTTGCTGAGTTCAAATCTGGCCTCAGACATTAGTAGCTGTGTGACCCTGGGCAAATCACTTAACCCTGTTTGCCTCAGTTTCCTCATCTGTAAAATGAACTGGAGAAGGAAATGGCAAACCACTCCAGTATCTTTGCCAAGAAAACCCCAAATGGGGTGACAGATAGTTGGGCATGACTGAAAAATGGCTGAACAACAACAAAAACTACATGCCAGGCTGTGTGCTAAGTGCTGCTTTGCATGTGTTAAGTAACATGCTTTTATATTTTAACTCCTTAAGTGGCCTTAAGTCTCATTATCAGCTATCCTATGGGAACTAAGGTAATTCAACCCTTTGACAACAATAAATTAATAATCTCTACACTTTTTTCTCAGTCTTGTGGTATAGTGTAGTATAAGTAGAAAGAAGTATTGACTTAGCAGCAGATGACATAAAGTTTAATCTATGGTCTCTTCACTGAGGGAATTCTCTTGCCTCCCAGAAAGACTGCTAAGGCAAAGGACCATAAGTGAATTACAGACTTGTGTCCAGTATATCATCCCTGAGCCATCTAAGGAGAACAGGCATCCAGATTATTGACTAATGGGAAAACTTCCAGCAGTTTTTTGTTTGGAAATAAAGCACAGGGCAGTAACTTTTACAGGTCAAGTGAAATAAGACTTGTATGGAAAACTTGAAAAGTGTCATCATTAAGCCTCAGGTGCTCAGCCTTGATTTGGAAATATTTTTTGTTTTAAAATTTTTTTTCTTGTCATCATTGAGATTTTAATACACTGTTAAACAGACCAGGAAAGAGAGAGGTATGTACTGGTGAAAGAATATGATAACAAGTGCCATACTTGCCATTTAAAAATTTTGGTTTTATCATGTGCTTAGAGATAGTTATGGGGAATGGTTTTCCCCTGGAGTCTGGAAGTCAGGAAGCCCTGAATTCAAATCTCACCTTACTGAAGCAAGGTCACTGTGTGACCCTGGGCAAGTCACTTAACCTTTGCCTCAGTTTCCTCCTTTCTAAAATAAGAGTAATTATAGCATTTACCTCCCACGTTTGTTATGAAGATGAAATTAGATATTTGTAAAACACTCTACAAACTCTAATGCTAGCTAGTGTTATTATTATTACCTATGTCAATTTTATGTTGGTCATTGTTACAGGGTTTGTTGTGTTTAATCACTACTATTGCTTCACCTCCCCATCCATTTCACAAGCCCTTTCACTATGGCTTTTGACCCCAGCACTCGAGCATAATTGTTCTTTCCATAGTTACTACCAATGTCTTTTTAAATTTTTTATTATTTTATTTTATTATTTTTTATTTATTTTATACTCTATATAATTGCTACCCTATCTCCCACAACAGAATATAAGCTTTTTGGGAATGGTAATTGCTTCATTTGTGTCCATGGAATCCCCACCGCTAGCATAATGCACGACACATCATATAATTTTAGTAAACACTTATCAGTTGATTGATTGGTTAAAGTATACTAATGTGAATCCATATGTTAAGATCATGTAAGATTTCTCTTCACCCTTTTGTGGCTAAATTCCATGATGTAATAACAGTTAATTATGTTCACTGATCTTCTGGTTATTAATTAGCATCAACTGAGGAATAAAACAGGAAGATTTATCTTTGCCAGAGATGTATGCCACTATCATGGTGTATGCTCAGTGCCAAGTTGAAATGGAAAAAGAAATCCCTGTGGATGGTGATGTTCTCCAAGTATTGAGGTGATTGCCTTAAGTTGGGAATATCACACAGGTCTTCTTAATGAGATCTCCAATCAGTAAAGCTAGCTTAACCATTTACATGGGAAAAAAATACATGGATGAAGAATATGAAAATGGGATACAAAATCGGTGGAAAGTCCATTGAACTGGCCCATCAGCCCACATATATTGGAAAGACACTGAAAGTGGACAATGAATAAAAGGTCCAGTAGAAGAGGTTTGATTGTGTTTGGGAAGTTGCACAGTGTTTTCTGTAATCCCAAGCTACTCCTTGAAACAAAGACTTAGCTTGTTTTTGTTTTTGTTTACTTTGTTTTGTTTTTGTTTACATTTGTTTGTTTTTCCTGGTTTTTGGTGAGGCTACCTGCTTGTGAACCTTGGAATGCCACCATTTTGGAAGAATCAACATTTCTGGAAACTGAAAGAAAAGGAGAGTATAATGGTAAAAAAATATGACTGTAGCATATTACCAGTGATGACTTATTTGCACATAAGAAGTGGAATAAAAGATATCAACCAGGAGATTCATACTTAAATTCTTTCACACTTTGAGAGGATCCATATGGATATTCTGCCCAACAATACATGTCACAACCCACCCATGCTTATCTATCTACACTATATTCTGCCCAACATGATCAGGGTCTCCCTCTAGATGTCTTCACATTGTATGGATATTAATGGAGTGCACAAGCTATCCATCCTTTATTGCTCACTCTTATTATGTAAACATTTCATCTCTTTTCCCCCAGTTTGCCTTTCTAATGATGTCCATTATGCCTCTCCTTCATTTGTAATATATTGCAACCTGTTCCCCCCCACCATACACCACTTGATTACCCTGGGTAAATAACCTTCAACTTCAGTTTTTCAGACACTTAGGGCATGTTTATAGATGGCAGGGAAGGAACCAATAAATAAATAGAGACTGAAAATTTTTAAGAGAGTGGAAATGATAGAAGGGGAAAACTGCTAGAGAAGATGGGACAGGATGGCATCAAGAATGCAATATAGGAGTTTGTGTTGGCAAAGAAGACCATATCTTCAAGTAAGACTGGGGTGACGAAGGAGATAGTGGGGGAAGGGGACAAGAGCAAGCTCTAGGCCAATGGCCTCAATTTTTTCAGTGAAGTATGAGGCGAGGTCCTCAAACTGGGAAATAGGGGCAGGCAGAAGGGGTGCCATAAGAGGCTCGAGGAGGGATGAAAAGGATTGGAATAGCCACTGTGGTGAGTGGAAGAGTGAGTTGATTAAGGAGGTGTAAATTGATTAAGGAGGAACCTTGCTACAGTGAGAGCCCAGAGAGATTACATAACATAAATTTGTAATGGTTCTAATCAGCAAGATTTCATGATTTTCTCCAGCTCTGTTCAGCAGCTCATGAATAAGAGTTAAAGTCACAGACAGGGGGAATAATTCAGTGTTGGAGCTTGGCAAGGCATGATGAGCTATGGGGTGAAGGGAAAGGGATTTGAATCTAGAAGATAGTGTAGAGTGAACTGATTCACCAATGGTTCAAGATAGGGAAGAAGAATAGTGCAGAGAAAGACCTGAGGGGTGGGAGTCACTAGGTCTGAGATATTTTTTCAAGGCTGTAGTGTCTTCCCCTTACATTTCAGGAGATGTAGATGAGCAAA